TCCCCGGCGCGCCTTCCCTTTCCCCGCGACAAATGTCTTCAGTCCATCGCGGTCCATCACCGCGACCTGTCGGGCGTAGTTTGGCTTTAAGCCCGATTCACGTTCGGGACGATGTCCGTCGGTTATTGTTGTCATAAATGCACGTTCCCTACTTTCATCACCCTATGAGGTCTCAGTCATGTCAATCTGAGATGAAAACGAGGGTGGGGGTGGGTGGAGGTGGGTGGGGTCACTTCGCAGCCCCCCGCAAGGAGGGTGACGTCACCGAGTGTCCTCCTGAGTGTTGTACCGGGTGGTGCGCGGCTCGGGGCGGCGCGGGGCCGAGTCGTGTTCGAACATGTCTTTACGCCGGCCGGATCGCCGGTTCGCCCCCACCGCCTCAGCACAGCACCATGCCATGCCCATTTGCGCGTAGCGCGTCGCGGCGGGTGCACGTCGCGTCGCGGGGATGCCGGCCGCCCGGCCCGGCGCCCACCGGGATCCGCCGGGACCCTCGCCTCAAAGTACCGCACCCGGGGCAGCAGTCATCATGCATGAGCGGGGAGTCAGCCGCCCTGAGCCCGAGCAAACGCGTTGCCTGCAGCCCCCAGCTGAGGTCCTGGAGTCCAGGACTTCACCTTCCAGCGAGTCTTTCTTAACTTCGTCCTGGCTCGAGTCCCCCGACGACGCTGGGACTCTGCTCTCGGCCTACCTCTGGTGCAAGTCCTCATCCATGGAACTGTATGCTGGCGATATACTTACTGTTGATGGAAGCCAGTTGTGAAAATGAAGTGTAGCAGGGATCTCGAATCAAAATGCTCTATGTTGAAGGTAAGTTCTGAACGTTTCCTGGAGAAAGATATAGAAATTTAATGCATTTGTGTTAAAAGAGATCAAGCAGTTTAATTGAATAGGAGTTTGAATATTGTGAAGGATTCTAATGCGGATTTTCAGAAAATTTGACAGCTAGTGACTTTTAGGCAGCTTTGGCAGTCTTTTCTGCTTCTGGCTATCTTTACGTCTGTTCTCCATTCTAAACCAAAATATTTCAAATCCAGTTCTCCAGTCTGATAGTTGCAATTACCAGAAGTTCTTCCCTGTTTGTGTTTAAGGCTAAGCTTAAGGTCAGTGTTATTTTCTAGAATTCCACCCATACCACTTCTTTTCAACAATATTTTCAAACAACTTGTGCTGTTGTGACGTAAAATTTAGGATTTAAAAATGACAGCCTTCTAAAAGTGTTAGCTTTGTGTTTTTTCCGTTGGAGTCAGAGTTAAGTATTTTGCAGAGATAATTTTTTACTGCTGCTCATGAAAAGATCTAATATAACTTGTACAATAGGTGACTGTTTTGCAAAAATCACTGATACCAAATAAGCAAATTAACATGTTCCTTGCAGCTCACTTTTGGTGCCTATGATTTAACATATGGTAGCCTGACCACATAGTGGTCATGCCACAAGAAACGTGTCAAGCCCTCAAATTTTATTTATGGGTTGATATTTTCCACTTGGAGCAACTTAAACACTTAAATACCCTGTTTAGTACTCCCCACCATGTTAGTATAAGCTGATGGGCTGAAATAGCATGTCTTAAGGCCGCGAAAAAATATGCCCCAGGTGAGGCTCGAACTCACAACCCCGGCATTGCTCACGACCACTGTCTATAAGTACCGTGCGCTAACCGATTGCGCCACTGGGGCAATTGAGAAACGAGGTCGACAAATACCGTACACTCTTTGAAGGTTGTTCGCAGAAATCCGATTTGGGTATTAACGATTCTTGTTTGGTTGGATGGTAAATCTAGATGATCAACTTCTCATTCAGGGAGATCGTGCCTTGAGCTTTTAGGACGAAACGGCGATAAAGAATAGAAAATCGAGAATTTATCTGCTCTTTCTTTTCCTTGGACACGGGGCTGTGAACATAACACTGACAAAGTATGTTTATTTCGCAGAACTTATGATGAAATCTCGTTCATCAGAGATAGATGGATCTAAAATTTATGGTAGCTAAGACATCTTAAATTGCACAAAGTTTATGGGACTCAAAAGATTTTCGCGTAAAGTTTTGAATATTTTATCGTCGTAGGCTGGTATGTCTTGAAAACTCGCCACTTTAACCAACAAAACAAAACATTACAGAAAATTTGTGTGGACTTTTGCGGCAAATTGCACGTGGCGTGAATTTATGTTCCAAATTTGTGAAAATAGGCGTAATTTTTTACGCTTTCAATTTTTTGGCAGTTTATAACATAACGTTGTGTATGGATATTTCAAACGGATCGGTAACATATCATACGTAATCATGTCATTGACGTATGTACCTCTCTACCTGTGATGTTTTCATGAGAATTGAGTGTTTAAATGAAAATATTTTGGCTTTACACTTAGTGACTTTAATAAAACACAATCTTTCAGCCAAAATAATTTTAAACTGTACACGCGATGATGCTGTAATTTTATCAGCAAAAAAATTGTCAAACACAATGTGCTTTTGACGTAGTGCCCGCGCACTCCTATGTCCTCTGCTCGCAGAGTTCTTGTAATGGTAAGTTTGCAGATGAAATAATGAGTTCTTGACATGCATACTCTCAATCGCACGATCTCATTTTCTTTTATCCATGGGTATGCTTTTCACATACCGACTCATATCTCTTAAGGCCTGAAATGTTTCCATTTCGGTATGACGTGTAGGCTAGTTCCTGCTCGCAAACCTTCACAAACCTTCATTTTCTTATACAATTATTCTCTTGAACACAACTTCCTCTTGAAGTTACATCAAGTCTTCTTATGAGTTGAAATTTTTGCTGTTATACATGCTAGAAGATTCTCCATGACTTTTACTTGGTCCCAATGGACTCAGCTGTCAAGTTCAAGAAGAGGGAGACTAGTACCAAGTTTGGTTTTAAATGTAGTTTAACCCTTTTTTTCATTAAATCTGTTAATTCAGATTCTTAATTGGAAATTTATCATTTTTATTATTATTTTTGTTGTTGTTGTTGACAACCACTATTCACAACAATGTCCATTCCCTAACCTTCATATTAATGCATGTCACTTAAAAAAAAAAAAAAAATGTATAAAAAAAATATGAAACCTGCACTCTCTAATTTAGACTTAAATCAGCTCTGACAAATTAATATCCTTCCGTTTCTCTTATTTATTTTTTGTTTCCATGCTTAACCTGTTGTTTTTAAAAAACCTATAACTTATTCTACTTCAAACAATTCTTGCAAGTGTCCCTTTTTTTGGAAGATTGTGCTTTCTTTCTCCATTAATCATATCCTTGAACCCTTTCAAGTAGTTTTGTCTTTTTGAGTAATCTTCCAAATTGTTTCATCACGCACCCTTTAGCAGTAGGTTATATTTGTTTTGCCTGGCCTTATCTTTTATCTTGATGTGTCATCTGCTGGGCTGGTATGTCTCCTGTAAGGTGTGGTAGCACTTGGACATCTCATTCATTCCAGGATTTGTAGTGTAAAACCATTCCCCTGAGATAATTTTATGCTATCCTATCAAAATATATTCCATCTTTCGTCGACTTTTTGTTGTGTGGTTTAAGTGTTCTTTTGGATCCAAAATTATTAATTTTCTTTTTGTGGTAACAGGTTTCATCTTTAAAAAATAGTTACTATGAACTGGTTTGGTGCAACAGGCCTTGTTACTGTGGCTAAGTCCACTTTGAAAGGCGCTCAGAAGGCAATTGACAAAGCTCTTGACATCAAAGAAGAAGAAGAAAATGTTGATAGAATCCCAACTCCTGGTAATAAGCTTTTCTTTATCTATGTTCTGAAGGAAAATATAATTTTCTAATAGTGCTAATCTTTTTAAGCTCAAAACAAAGATGAATCTGATAGTTTCTTTTCTACGTGGGGTGTCAAAACAGAGGAATCGCCAGAAAGGACTTCAAATCCATCATCACAGGACTTGGGTTCCTCAAGTCTCTGGGGTTCATTTACTGGTTCCTTTTTTGAAAATCCCCGACCATTAACGTCACCTGGAGGCAAGCACAGTTTTGCAAATATAACTAAATGTGGTTTTCCTCGTCTCAGATTTATAATTTTCTAAAACTCAACAGATGATAGTCCAATATCTCAACAACCAAAGAGAAGCTCAGTCTCGAGACTACTTGCAGCCCATGGAGAGGAGCTGGATTCTGAACTATCACTTGGCGATGACAGCAGTGTCTGGGAGGGTTTCTCTAAAACACAACTAGTTGTAGAAACATGCACAACAGTTAAAGAAGGTACCATATCCTCTTTTTCTTTTTCTTTTTTTTTCTTTTTTTGTAAGACAGGTCTTGAATATCACATTTCATACTGTTTCTAACATTAAAGTGTTTCTTTGTCAACTTCAGAAAAATCAGGCGACCCACCTGCACTTCAGTCCTCAGAAGAAGTGAAATGGAGACGTAAAGAGAGATCTAATGAAAAATCTCAGAACAGAAACAGCAACAACAGACTCTCTGTTGTTTCTTCTGAAAGTGACAGACGATCCTCAGACAGTGTAGAAGTGATTGGGTCAACGAGTTGCACTGCAAGTCCAGAGTCAGATTTACCCAACTCTTTGTCTACATCATCTTTAGCTGTAAGCATTGAGCAGTTGCTTTCATGTAATTTACGAAATCTGTTGACAATTAATTGAAATTTGCTTATCCCTTTGTGTTGAAGTCGTCTGCTGGGTTAAGGCCTGTTTCAGCAAGTTCACCTGATTCAGTTGATATAATTCCTGAAAGTTCTGATAGCCATAGTGCCTCTGTAGAAGTATTGGGCAGCCATGGTAGCAGCACATCTTTGTATTCACCATTGGATCCTTCCCTGGACAAGTATGTGTGATGGAAAGAAACTTACATTTTCTTCTACCTAAATCTAAGCAGCATTCCCAAACCTATAAATTGTAATTTTAAATTATTTTTAAAGGATCCCTTCAACTTCTAAAGAGTTGGCTTCACCTGATAGTGTTGAAGTAGTTCCTGAGGAGGAGGATGATGTAAGTTTAGCTGACGACAGTTATGCTTCTGCTTCTGCCTCTGAAAGCACTATGACTCAAGCGACTATCTTAGAGCCTCATGGACAAACCAGCTCTGCTATGGAAAGTTCTACACATTTTCTAGAGTCCATTGATTCAGCTGGGCAAACTGACACAGTTGCAAGTATGTGCATTATCTGCTTTTTGTATAACTTAACAACTTATTTTATCTTTAGTTTTAAAAATGGATTTTTGTGCACCAAATCTTATTTTTTTCCTTACTTGTCTTAGGTCGAACAGATACTTCAATATCTTCTTTAGTTCTGGACTCGTCTACCGACACAATTTATTCCGACCATGGCTCATTAGGACGGTCTGCCATGCAGCTTACGTTGACTACTGAATACCCTCAACCCTCAGCAAAATCATCTTGGACTAATTTAAGCCTTCTATCATCCTCTGAAAGATCCCACAGCGGTAGTTTAGAGAGTCTAGCCACTAAAGATCCTGCTAACCAACCCTCTAAACATATTGAATCAAATAGCAGGACTTTTGAAACCTATGATACCAAATTATCATCTCCAGAACTGGTACCTGATATTTCTGCAGAGGAGACAATAGCTGGAATGACTTCAACAGATAGTAGTGGTGAGGGTACTTTAGTAGAAAGCAGTTCTGACGATACTATTCCTGGTAGTGATCAACAGGCGCACAGCACTTCTGGGTATGTGAGGAATTTACTTGCTGAAGCCATGGTAGATGATTCTTCTCAAATGAGAGTAAACTCCCCTGTATCTGTGGAAAGTCGTTCTGACGTGAGTTTTATCATATTTCATTCAGTTTGCTGTACATGTACCTATTTTGTTTGTGTTATTGTCCTATATTTTTATTATATCTTTAGGGTCTCAGATTGGGCTCAGAACAGACAAGTGGGCATACATCTGGTGATGAGCTAGAAACCACAACTTCATCCGATATTGAAATAATATCCAGCCCAAATGGTGATGGTAGTAGCACCACTTCACGGCAGAGCCCAGCAAAACATTTACACCGTGCTCCACACGGACCTGTTGATATATTAAAGTTCTCTGGCAAAATTAAAGGTATGTTCTTGTTTATTTTCATTTTTTTTAATAAGCATGTGTGGCTTGGTATGCACTTCATCAGCTTTCCTATTATTTTATTTCATAAAGTTTTCTTATGTGCTTTGCTTTTTTGCACTTCTTGCACATTTGTACAAATTAAGGCAAATTTTGGAACAAATCCAACATTTAAAATTTATTCAGGTTGGGTGGGATGGATATAATCTAATCTAATCTTTGATTATTACATACTTCTTATTTTGCTTCAAAGCCTTGTATTCATTTTAGATCTTTTGATTTTGTGCACAAGGAAAACTTTATTAAGTGTAATTACTCAGTTTGCTGTGCACTTGCTTTGATAGTTAGAAGCATGTTTCAACTGTGCAAGTGAATGGATGTTCCAAAGGAGAGGCATTTCTCATAGTATTAAGTTGCTGTCTACTGATATAAGCATTGTAAGACTAGAATTATAATATCCCCAGTCAATTCACTGTATTTAAGACTTGCAAGTCCTCTCATGGAATGTGCTCCATGCGCTTGCATGTTTGGATATGACTTCATTGGCAGCAGCTCAACTCCAACAAGGCATGGTTTTCTCTGCAGCTCACTTACCCGGCTTGGAGTTTGGTGTTTTTCCATGGCTTTTCATCTTTGGCCTGCTGAGCTACTCAAGCTACTGTGATGCATGTTCTTCACGGTCAGCTCCTCGACAGAGGATTCCACCTTCAACTCCACGTCCCAACATAACAGAATTGGACCAGTTCTATAAATGCCCTCCTGAGTTTGATGAATTCTATTGCTTAAATGGAGCAAGCTGTTTTCAAATCCAGATATCTGACAAATCTCAAATGAGTTATGGCTGTTTTTGCGCCGATGGTTTTCTTGGCTCCCGTTGTGAATTTAAGGCACTTGATGGTAACTATAGGACATATTTAATTGAAACAGCTGGCATTGCAGGTGGTGTAGCAATAGCTGTGTTTCTGTCATTTGTTGTCTGTGCTGCATTGTATGTGCATATGAGGAGAAGACGTCAAAGAAGATCAGCTGAAGCCAGGAACAGTTCAACAGGACCAAGACCTTTTGACAAAAGACCTCTCCAGAAGGGTCCTGAGTCTATAAAATTGACAAGCTTAGCTTAGCTTAGCTGAAATCAGTTGGGTTGTATAGTTTTCAGTAAGTTTGCATTCTACTTTATACCATATAAACTTGTGGCATCAAAAATTTACTTCTACGTTTTAGTTGCAATACAGAAGTAGAGAAAGGAAAACACCGGTATTAATTAATGGGTCCGGAATTATCATTCAGGCTAGTAAGTTCAATGCTTCTTTGGGCCATGTTCTGAAGGCTCCATGCGCTTAAATTCTCTGATCTTCTTCTTTTATCTATTCTTGCACTCCCTGCTCTTTATTATTTTAATTCTATATTTTTCAGAAATAAAAGTTAAAGAGTAGGTGGTTTCCAGATGTTCTTAAAAGAATGTTGATGCAGATGGCACATTATTGAAGCTGAATGATGAGAGTTTAACTTAAAATAGCTCTACAGGTTTAGAACTATTTTAATGTTTGTCTCTCTCAAATTTGACTTGCTACTGCCTTAGGCCTCATGTGATAGTGGGCTTTGTACATTTTTCACAGTTTGTAATTTGACTCTAAAGTAAGACCAATTCCAATTGTAGTTGGAATCAAACTTTGGTTTTTCCTCTTTCTGTTTAGTTGTTTACTTGATGTCGCAAGCATTTCATCACATTCTAGTTTCATCACCAATGTGCCCCTTGTACCTGAAACATCTACTTTGAAAGTGACAACCAATTATTTTCTACCATTATAACTTTGTGGTACATACGAAAATCACTTAGACCAAATATTAAAGTAAGTTTTTTTACATTAAAATAACTAGAAATGGCTGTCATACCATGTGTAAATCTAGAAACAGAAAAGAGAAAGATACAACTCAATTGAAGCAAGTCATTTTCTTTGAAAAAATTTTTACTGTGTATTTTCATTGTGTCCTTAAGTGTGTGAAATCATAATGCCTTCATCCAGTTGGTGCTTCTACATTGAATACACCTTGTAGTGATTTTTTAGTTAGGTTTTGTTTGTACCATATTTTTGTGTTTAAATGTGCTCCACTCAGCTGCCCCAAGATGTAACATTATTCCTTTTTAAAGGAATTAAAATTGGTTCACATTTGTTCCTTTACTTTACTGGTACTCCATTTTATTGTACTATGTGATTATCTGACATTTAATCATGGTTTACATTGAAAAAGTTCGTTTATCTCTAGATTTTCTCCTTTGGGCATAGTGCAGTTCTGAATTTTTTCTTTTTTATATCATTGGGTCTTATAATTTCCTTTGGAAAGGTGTTCTAAATTCAAAACTATAGCTTACACTTATTTTAACACTTTATGTTAAAGAAATATGGAGACAGATAACGTGGCATTTGCTCTAAATCTTTTAAAAGGTCTATTTATTTTCTAAAATGTGTTGTATAAATCCTTGATGCCTGTCTGTTTTATTAGGAATGATGTGAACTGCTTAAAGCATGAGGTTTGTTTCTCAGACAGTATTTTTGTTTTAAAGAAATTTAAAAGATGAAAAAAAATCCTACATCGGCAGGTTTTCTATTTGTTTGTGCCTTACTGAACCTGTAGGTTACTGTTTGTTCAGACTGTATGTCATAGCTAAGCCGTGTTGTTTATTGGTAATGGTTCAAATTTTAGTTTATTCTTAGATTACGTACTATGTTCTCATATCTAGTCAAAATGATGGTTGGAGGACTGACTCATTCTAGTCTCTTCTTTGCCCTTTTTGATTATTGTCTCCTAAGTTCATCTTATCATTTTCCATGGCTCATTTTTGGTGTAGGTTATTAATTCTGTCATTTCAGACTTTCATCAGCTGAACTGCCTAATTTATTATAACAGCTTATGAATTTGCTGTCATTGGACATGTGAGCCCATCTCACTCACTGTGATTTGAGATGTGGACTGCAAACTCTCAAATGTAATGGTTGTGCTGGTATTTGACATTTCCATTCATTTTTGATGTGGGAGTGAGCTCGCGCGTAGTCTTTAAAATAGCTGATTGTAGTTTGACGTTTTTCTATCTGTGTGTTCTAATAGTTCCCCTTCTCACTACATTATTAGAGAAGTATCCCGTTTAAATTATTTAGACACTTTCCTGACAGTACTATCATCTTTCTCATCTGATTTTCATTGTAGTAAGATTATCATGCAGTACTTCTTTGTGTAGATCACAATTTAGTACTGACGTAAGCCAAATATAATGTTGCAACCAATCATGACATTGTTATCTAGCTTTAATTGTGTTGCTATTCACTAGCTTATTTCACACTAGTCATGTGATGGCATATCTATAATGTGTCAATTTTTTGACTCATTATTATATCCGTTATTGAAACATTATGGCTGTTTTTGTGAAATTTTATTGAAAAGAAAGGCTTTTAAATATTTGTTTGGAGTATAGTTTTGAAATGTTATGTTTCAAGTGTTTTTTGATCCAGGTTAATCAATCCCTATGATGGCTGTACAATGTATTTACAAAGACTGTACTGGTTACAAAAGGTGGAGGGAGAGTGGTTTGACTGGTTTTCAAAATCTTGTCAATACTATTAAGATCATAGTTATCTCCTCTTTCCTATCTTTTACTTTGTGCCTGGTTATAAATGAACAAATAAAGTATTCACTTTCAGAACGATTTCCTGTAAATAAAAGAATATGCTGCCTTAATGCTCCTCAGATAACTCCCTTTCAAGATTGAAATTTCATCTACTTTTCTTTGTGTGTGTTTGTGTGTGTGTGTATCCTTTTGAAATTATCTATAGACAAACACATGCATGATTTTAATATGCACTTGCTATTTTCCATACTAGCTAAACTTGGCTTGCTCTGTGCCAGCATCTAGAGGAAGAGAGAGGTTTTTCCCTTACATCTGTTTAATACACAGATGTTAAATAACTATCTATGTTATCCTCAGTCATTTTTCTTCCAGGACATCAGAGAGAACCATCAGAGGCATCCAGTGGAGGATCTGATGATAGCCACGGCTCTGAGACAGATAGACTTTTGAAGGTAAGCTGCTACTTTGTTATTTCTCTATAACTGGACTATCAAAAAACAATCATTTTTGAAATTTTTCAGAAATTAAGTGAGATGTCAGAATTGCTTGAGGCTAGAGAGACTAAGCTTTTGGTCTTAAGTCGCTCACATGCAGAGCTTCAAGAAAGCTATCAGGATATGCGAAGGTGAGGTTGATTGTAAGGACATTGTGTTACTGGCATTAAATGAAAGTTTATTTTAATTTTGTCACTTTTTAAATTCACATCAGCCAACTCGAGAGTGCCCAACAGAGTCGGCTTATGGAGTCTAGGAGTCTAAATGAAGAATTTACTCGACGCCTTTCTGCTCTTGAAAGAAAATTTCAACAGGCTATAAGAGATAAGGATGTTTTGCAGAAGCAGCTTGAGGTGTGTTCTGTAGTTAACTTGTTTGAATGAAAAGAAATTTTGTTTGTAAGGTCCTTCTGCACTGTTTTATGGTTTCAGCCGGGATGGATTTGATCAGATTAAAGCTATAATTTTTCTTTTCTCTTTTAATTTATATTGGTTTTTGTTTTGCAGCAATCCAAGTCAGAAATGGCTAATCAGCTGAATGAACATGTGGGTGAAAGAGATGAAACTATCAAAGAGCTGAGAGAGGAGGGTGAAAAGTTGTCACGACAACAGTTGCAACAAAGTAATCTTATCAAGAAACTGAGGGCCAAGGAGAAGGAAAGTGATTCAACAATGAAATCCCTTAGGTACTTTAAAAACTTTTAATCAAAATTCGTTACTGATCCTAATGTATTTATCACAATGATAATGTTTTTATATTATGCAGGGATCAAGTAGACAACTTATCTGGTGAAGTTGAACGCTTAAAACGCTCATTGGCTGCGAAGGAAGATGTTGAACGCTCACAAATTGAAGCTGTTCATCAACTAACTGCTCGTGTCAAAATGCAGGAAGGAGAAATATTTTCAATGAAGGAACAAAGAGATCACTTTCAACGTATTGCTGAGAATGCTCAAGCAGCCCTAGACAACACAAATAAGTATGTTTCACAGTGTGAAGTTAAACAACTTCTTAAAAAATCTTGATCCCAGAACTTTATAATTGATTACAATTGACTAAATGTTATAGGGAACTTTTGGATGCCCGTGTGAGGGAAGAGGGAGCTGATCAACGTGTTAAAGAGGCCACACAGAATGTGGAGGAGACAGCAAGGGCCGAACTAGAGGCTGCATTAACTGCTGCTCAACAGCACAAACGACAGATTATGGTTCAAATGGACTCAATGCGAGAACAACTTTCTCAGGCTGAGGCAAAGCATTGCAGGTTTGTGAATGTTTCTTGATTATTTCAGTTTTAATGAAGATAAATGTTTAAATTTTTTTTTCTAAAACATATTCTTTCAGACGGGAGAGTGAACTTCTTGAGAGGCTTGAAAGTGCGGAGCGCCGCAGTGAGGAACTTTCTCAACAGCTTTCTGATGCTACACGGCCACTCTTAAGACAGCTACAGACATTCCAGGCCAGTAGTAAAACACAACAAGAGGCTTGGGAAAGGCAAGAGCGATTACTTACAGATAGCTTGGGTATGTTTTCTTTTTCTTTCTGCCAATTAAGGAAGGGTAAATTCACCACTTCATGTCTATTATTTAATTTTACTTTAGCTGAAGTGCAAACCCAACTTCAGCAAGTATCCGATGCCGAGCGCGCAGCTAGAGAGGAGTTACTGACCCTGAGAAGTAAAGTATCCACCCAAGAGAATAAACTTATAGCTTCTGTCAGTGCCTCTCAGAATATGCAAGAACGTATCATTCAACTTCAGACTGAGTTTGAAAGGTGAGCCAAATATACTGAAGGAGGAGAGAAGATATTACGTTACACCTCACTTTAAAACATATGACATTTTTTTCAGGGTATCCAAACTATCTGAGGAAGGAAAAGGCGTCTTTGAAAGTGAAAGAGATGAATTGAAAAGGCAGTTGGCTTCTTTAGATCACCAACTTAGTGTAGAAAGGGCTGCTGTGGAAGCAGAAAAAAGGCGTTGTCTCCAACTGCAGGTATCCATCATGAATTCCCAATCCAACTAGGGTCTAACATTGGAAAAGTTAATTAACAAATACACTTCTAACTTTAGGAACAACTACGTGAAAGGGAACGGACGCTGGAACGTGACAAGGAAAGAGATACAGACCTTGGTAAAAGGGATTCTCCTCTTGTTGTTCCATCGGGGCATTCTTCTCCAACAATTAGTTTTGGCCGGGAATCAATATCTGAGTCAGTCTCAAGTGTGGCTTGGCCTGTTGTAAGTTGTTCCCGTTTATTCTTTTTCTATGTGTGTCTGTTTATTTTTAGAAATCAGCTATATTACTCCTCCTAAACTAACACAAGTTTCCCCAACAGTTCACCGATGATGCATTTGAAACCAGTTCTATTTCTGGACGTAACATTTATGAAAGTGTGCGCTTAAATCACACAACTTCTGTTCTGGAAGGACTTCAGTCACAATTGAAACTTAGAGAAGGCGAGAAAACGTGTTAATTTTTTTTGAACTATTCTCTTTCTTATCTTGTGAAGATTCCTTCTTATATATCAAATTTGTATTTTAGGTGAAGTGCAACAACTGCAATGGGAGCTGTCAAGACGTGAAGCTCAGAGATGTGCATTGACTGCAGAGCTTTCAACTCTATCAGTACGTGCTGATGAGCAGGAAATACGTTTAAATAGTAGCCTTCAGTTGCAAGAAGAGTTATCAAGTCAGTTGTCATCTTTGAGGACTGAGTATGATGCTTTGCTGCAACTCTATGGTGAAAAGCTAGAGGAAACTCAAGAGCTTCGACTTGACCTTCAGGATGTGAAAGACATGTACAAAGCACAGGTAAAAAAAAGTAACATAGTAAAGGCTTAAATTTATGGACAAATCATGACATTTTATACCACCTCATTGTTGCTATTTTCTTTTGTAACACAGATTGATCAATTGTTGAAGAAAGAAGAACTAAGTCAAATTTCACTGAAGCAAGGAAATACAAGTGAGGAGCAGAAGATGGCACCATAGAATAGACTGGTCAACTAAATAAAAGACTGGCCTACTGTGATTTATATTACTATTTAAAGTCCTTTTCAGGTCAGGAGTGGTTGTTAACTGTCATCACTCTAAGCCAAAGTTGTATTTTAGCACATTAGAGTGTATTGGGCAAATATTTTATTTAAGTCATCTCAAAATCTTTGCACTCTGTTTCTCGTTATGCTTGTTATTAAATATCTCTAGTCTATGTAAGAAAATGTGGGAGGTTTTTAGGTTGGTTATGAGGTGATGTCTGTGTTGGAGATACCTTCATCATCAGTCTCTTCACTGATGAAATCAGTTTTAAGTAATTTATTCATCTGTATTATTGAAGTGTTATTACCTAGTAGATTGTTTTGTATGTTGCTTGAACTGACTTGATAAGTCTGCTTTCCTGTTGGAAGTTAATTAAATCTGTGATCAAAAATTTATTATATTTATACTTGTTCAATGTGAGGTTTTTACGCAATACAGTCCTGCATGAAACACTGGATTGTGCAGAATTATGTATGAGCAACCTCATCCAGAGAGGTAAATTTTTGGAACATTTGTCCTATGTATTGTAGGGAAATGGAGAGTGGTGGGCATCATTAATCTTATCTAGCAACCACAACAAAAACCGTCTAGTTGTGGTATAAAATTTGAAGTTAATTTGTAAGCATTTTATACAACTTTTAGTGAAGATGAATTTTCAATTCGAATTCCAATTTTTATCTGAAGTTATGCTTTTTTTGTGTCTGTGTGAATAATATCCCAGAGTTTTCTGGTTTTTGAGATATTCATAATCCTGCTCATTCAATATAACATTCACTGGCTTAGTTAGGCCTGTATCTATCTAAGTATTAAGATGAAAGCTTTTCGTTTCATGTTAAGATGCATAAAAACTTATCATTCTGTGCAATTTTATCAATTAGTATATGTGATTTGTGCTGTGATGGTGAAGATACATCTAATTGCTGCAGTTTGGATGAATGTCAGTTATTGGTTTGCATGCAGCATGGTTATTGCTGATAGCAGGTACGGTTGTGATATTACAAAAGTGTTGTCTTTGAAAACCTACATGTTGTAAGTGCATATTTTGTTGGTTTTCCTGCTTTTGGTGCCTCATACATTTCATAAGCTTGGTCATTATTTGATCTTCAAATTTGTGCCTTATGTGGGGTATTTGCAAACATGTAGTTTTGCCAGAATTGCCTCATATGCTGCAATTATCTAAAAATATTGTTTTACCAGTTTTGTTTTGAGCGTATTATTCAATTTGTTATGCTGACAATTGTTGCATTTCTCTAAAGTTCATAAATTTTGTTTATGAGGTTTGGCCTGCAATGGTAAGCCTGCAAAGTGTAAGTTAAAGGGAAATCAGCCAGGTAAATGCATGTGTCTGTCTATCCTCTGTCATTCATTAGCCTCAAAATAATATTGCAATGTTAGGTAGGGTAATGTTTATCAGGTGACTCTTAAAATATTATTACTTAAAATGTGTCCTGATACCAAACACTGAAGGTGTGTTTTGCATATGAGTTACACCACAGTGAAGTGTGTCAAACTGTATCAGTTTTATTTACTGTGATTGTAAAAATATACTGTAAGGAGGCCATTACTTTTTTGTTTCCCTTTTTGTAAAAGCTATTCTAGAGTTAGTGTACAATTGAGGGGGATATCAAATTAAAAGAATCTTATTACAATTCTTTGTTTATTTACTCTTTGGATTCTTTAAATTTCTTTTTCTTTTTTTCCTTCTTTTTTTGTCTTTGCCGTGGAGCTGATTTAACTTATGCCCAAACTGAGGTGCTAGTGCCTGAGGGCTGCTGTTGAAGGTGGTAGACGATCGAGAAGGGTCATTCCGGACGGAATGCGGCCGGCGGTCAGCGACCCCTTCACACTACCCGTCCTCGCGCCCACGCACTACCGCGGTGGCGTCACGCCCAGCGCCCGCCAGGGCGGCGACAGCGCGGCAGCTCGCCTGCCTCGGCTAGAGCTCCCCCATGGCTGCAGAGATTAACTAAGGGTAACGGTAATTTTCTCTACAGAACCAATGCAAAGGGGGAGGGGGTGGGAAATAAACAGCATTCATTTAACTGATATATGATAATACCACACCTCATGACATCCTTACCGCCTGTGTACACTCGCCTTTCCCTCCCTGGCACACCTACCGCTCCACGACTGGCATTAGGCGAAACACCAATCAGTTTGAGATGTCCGTCAATTTGCACCACTCTGAAGCTCCCTGGCGGGGCCAGCGGGGCCGGCGGGGCGTGATCCCACCCCGCCACCGGCCGGCCCAGCCTTGGCAGGCCTCCAAGTCACGGGACAGAAATACGTCCGCCCCTCGCGGTGCCTCAACTCGGTGCGCGCTGTGCTCCTCTGTGCTCCCCGCCCGAGGCGCCAAGGCCCACACAGCTATGCTATTTCTGCCTCGCGCAGCGCAGCCCCTTTCTCTCCGCGTTTACACCGTTTCTGCGCGCTCCCAGCAGGAGCCGCGGCGGCGGCGCGGTGCGTCCGAGCCGTGCACGTGCATCGCGCGACGTCACCGCGTGACCGCCGCTGCCGGCGCGCTAGCGCCCGTGAATCCGGCGCAGGCAGCCCGCCGCGCGCGCGCGCGCCGCAGCCTCGGGCGTTGCCTACCTCGCGGGCGCCCTTGGGCTCTCGGCTCCGGGAGCTCCGAGGCCCAGCCGAACTCTTGCGGCGTTATTATTATTTTCTGGCACCGGGAGAAAAGGAAGTGTGACGTGTGGGCGAGGGGTTGGGAGAGTAAGACGCTCAGCTCATTGACTAAAAAATTTATTGCACTCTCGGTGAAATGAATCTTTAACACGTATGACTTTGATCGCTTCTTTCCCGCATCTGATAGAGTCCCAGTCTTTTATAAATTCCCAAGAAAGTAGCATAGCTTCACAATATTCTATTCACATGTAAATAAACCACAGATAAGTAGTAAAAGATAGAATATTTATAAAATTCATAACATATAAACAATAATAATAACAACGATCAATATATACAATTAAAGCTATGAATACAATAGCATTAAATATTTACAATTAATATCATATGACACATCGCAAAGCATTTTGGCACTAAAGGTTTCTCACATCAATCTCACGAATAGACATCAATAAATTATGGTAACAATACACAATATGAAGTTTAAAACAATTAAAAAAAATTCCAGAGGGGAGAGGTCAGTCAATCCACACTTAGATGCAAGGCATAGCGGGCTGAAATTCGTCCAACTATTAGCTGTGGAATAAGTTTTAAAGAAGAGAAAGCCTGCAACGCCCAGCATGTCTCCTTTTAACACGAAATCGTACCAAAGAGGGCGAAGAGAGCGCGACGATTTCAGTTGCACATGAAATGTTAAAGTAAAGAATCGCATGCACACGGACATGACGCATTACTGGTACCCAGACGAGGCTCTACGGGGAGTGGGAAGCTACTGGCTGAACAGTGACTAGCATATACGAGAAAAATTGTACACATATACAGGAGGTTTGAAGCTTAAACTAAATTGACCAGATAAGTAACCCCCTTTCCTAATTTTCACCAGGTTTTCGCATTCGCACAGTCATCGGATGGAATCGGTTCATTCAATTCAGACTCAAAGATCTCTCCTAAATCAGGTGCAAGTTGGAATTGTAATGCAGTCTTGCCTTGGGCAGATGAGTCATAATATTATTTGATTAAAATGTCTTTTTGGGGGGTGACTTCCTTCTTTCTAGAAAGAAGGCAAACAAAGATACTCGTACGTGCGGCAGAACATTTATCTCCCTCATTAACCAGTAAACTTTTGCCGGCACATTTAGCTCTTCTTCACTATCCCGATAGCAAAACATTGCGATTCCACTGCACAACGCATACCATCCAGATTCTGAGGTGAAACCTAAAGAGGCATATGAAATACAAGAAAAGGAAACAATCTCAAACACACAACGGAACATAACAGGGCATTCTTACGTAGAAGACATTCATATTTAAATGTGAACCCTACTGGTTTCTTTTTTGTTGTTGTTTTTGATGGGTTATTTTTGCTCGCAAGAATCGGAAGGGCAAACTTTTTGATTTTGATATGTTTTTTTTTTAGGCCCTTGTCAAAACACTATCACCTCGGAGGAATTCCCTTAAACACCCATTCTGAGAACGACTGTGCGTTTCATAATCCTATGGAATAGAACCAAAAAGCCAGCAAACAAATAAAAACACTTTCCAAATCGCCAAATGACCTTAGCATAAATATATCACAATGCACCAGTCTTAGTTTACTGTCTAAATACATACCAAGGGCGAATCATCCCAGGAAAGTGACTAACAACAAAATGTGAAGGAACTATTTGATAGAAGTTCAAACAAATGTAACAGAATAATATACTCAGTAAGAAGCAATAAAAACGAAAAAAGAAGACAATTATTGCTTGACTGAGCACTGCCACTAGATATATTTGTTTATTGTCATCAGTTCAATTCTGCAGATAAATAGCAGAATTCTAATTTTGAACTTATTTGGAGTAAAATATTGCCCTCATAGTTCTGCACAGTTCCCAGCGGCAATGAACTTCGTTCAGCACAATATTCGACAAATCGTCATAAACGCATTGACATACACACACAGCCTACAGCACTTTGATCACTCGAGATTTCAGTTACAAGATCCTTGAGGTTGCATATGAATAAAACATACTCAAGAAAATATAGAATGCGATATGTATTGTTTAAAAGAATTATGGCAGAGTCCCACCATCAATATTCTACAAACAACATGTCAACAAAATACCCGCCTTCCTCCGCATTGACTTCAAAACAGAGCACGAATAACTCACTCTTAAAATATATGGCACGTTTTAGATCGCCCTAGGCCGTACACCGTTTTATAAAAATAATCATACACTTTGGCCTCAGTTGTGCGGGGTTTTTCAGACACGAAAAGCACCCCCTTTACATCTCTCCAAAAATAACACGACAAAAATAAATTAGACGCCGGCTCTACACAACCATGTGAAGATTGATACTCTTCTTCCTACCCCTTAAATCTCCTTTCTCTTTCCTACTTCTCTTTGGGGTCAAAATGTTCTACAAACATTCTAGACACACCCTAAAGACTCGTTTCTGACACATTCACACACGGGATCAGGCTAATCTAATAGAGATTTTCTCACATCAATTCAGTTTTGAGGGACCCGTCGTACTTGACGCAAGATGTGCTTTCTTAATTGACGTTGAAGGGACGGGGCGGCTTTTGAGCGCGTGAACTTAAAGTTCGTCACCACCGGTCCGCTGCGCGCTGCGCGTCAGGCGCACTAGGTGCGCCGTCTATGGGGGTCCATGGGGGACAAGCACCCGCAGTCCCCAGCCACCTGCAGCCTAGAACAGGAACTTCCAGCCGTCGTCGTGCGGGCTGTTAAGCGTGGGCACGGCCTGAATGGGCGGGGGCGCGCCCGAAGGGGGCAGGCACTGGAAGCAGTAGTTGGCGCCGTTGTTGCTGTCCCAGTACTGGAAGCCCTTGCACTGGAAGCGCACGGCCATCTCCAGGCGCTGGCCCACGGACATGGTGTGGCCGGCGAACAGCGTAAAGGTGAACTTGTCGGAGAAGCCGTCGCACGAGTTGGGCACGTACGTGGCCTGCAGGTCGGCGAAGTTCCTCCAGCCGTCCAGCGTGTAGCGGATGTGCACCGTCTTGTGGAAGTCCAGGTTGCGCACGCGCACCTGGCCGGCGATGGAGAGAAGCGCGGCGTCGGCCACCACCGCGTTCTCCAGGCAGACCTGGCGGTCGCGGACCCGCTCCAGGAAGTCGGCCATGCCGCCGGGCTGCTGGAACAGCGGCACCAGGACGCGCGTCACGTGGGGCCGCACGCCGAAGGAGTCCGCGGCGGGGGTGGCCAGGAGGGCGTGGAAGGCGAGGGACAGCTGGCCGCTTGGCAGGCAGGAATCTACCCCCGCGACAATCATATCCGCCTGGGGGTCCACGTCCTGGAGGTCGTTATACGCGGACGTGGGCACTTTGGGAATCTCGTCTAGGAACGTCCGCACGTCCGCGAGGTCGAGGCCGAGCACGTCCGCAAAGCGCACGATCTTCTTGCGGCCGGGCGTTCCCGGCGGCGTCTTGCCCGTCTTGAGCGAAGAGCACCGCCGTATGCGAGGCCGCGGATCTTCCTCTTCCTCCTCCTTATCCTCCTCCTCCTCTTCGTTTTCGGCGTCCTTGTCACCATCTGTGTGCTCTTCGTGATGGCCGTTTAGGACTTCGCCGTCCTCGAGCCTGTCCTCACTGTGATGGTGGTTGGCTCTGTCCTCGTGTTGTTTGCTGTCGTCAAGGCCCTGACTATCTACGTGGTTTCCATTGTGACTCTGGAAGTCCTCGGGGGTGGCCTTACACTCTTCTGGCTCCCCGCAAAAGCCATTGAGACGCAGCTCCGCCAGGTCCCTTGCAATGTCTTTGGCGTCGGAGGGCGTGCTGCTACTATCGGGGGTCTCGAGCGCCTCCAGAGCTTTGGCGGCCTGCTTCATGGCTGCCAGGCCTCTGCTGCCCGCCACTGGAACGGCCACCTCCGCGTCGGACGACGCCGGACACGGGCAGAGGCCGTTCTTGAGCTCGGCTGGGATGTCGTGGCCCTGCTTGAGCTGCTCGATTAACCCCTCCTGCAGGATCGCCTGTGAGCTTTTGGCAAAGTTCAGCTTGGCGAGGCTGGGGCCCGTACCTCTCCTAGTCCGGGGCCTCTCGACCTCCTCGTCGTCCTCGGCCTCGTCCAGGTCGAGCTGGCTCACCTCGCTCATGGCCTCGGGGGTGCCGGCCTTGAACTTGTGCTGCACTCGCGCCCAGGGCCTCTTCTTGCTCTTGCCGTTGGCCGTCACGCCGTTGCTGAGGCCGTTCGCCGCGCCGTTGTGGTCCTCGGACTGCGGCGGCGACATGGGGGGTTCGGTCGGGCTGCCCTGGTCCTGGTCGTAGCCGTCCGTGTCGAAGTAGTCCGAACTGCAGTCGCTCTGCGGCGACTGCGGCCCGTTCTGCAGCAGGTCGTCGCGGTTCGCGCTACCCGCCATCATGACGGCTAGCTCCTGCGACGTGACCTCCTCTTGCGGTGACTGGCAGTCCAAGTCGTAGAACAGGTCCGAGCTGCTGTCCACCGACGAGGAGCTGAGGGTGCGGCGAGCCTCGGCACCGCTGGGGACGCTCGACCAGGACTCGTCCATGTCCTCGGGCGAGTCTGGGCGCGCGGGCGGCGGGGTCGCGCTGCCCTGGGACCCGCCCAGGCTGCGCAGCTTGTGGTGCAGGCTGCGCGCGAAGGCCTCGGTGCGGCCCACCCCGCCGACTCGGCACCCCATGACGGCGCCGGCCTCCACCAGGCCGCACGAACTCGGCCTCTGCTCAGTCGTCATCCTGCAACAGCACCCAACGCCCGGGGGTTAGTACAGTCCAGCTCGGGTCGCAGGCCGCGGTCAGTTTGTCTCCCACCAGTCTGACGGCGATGTAAATACTCGCTCCCCCCCCCCCCCCCCCCCCCC